CTGCGCAAAGGAGAAAGATAACGGAAAGGCAAGTATGCGGCAGGTGATTTTTATGATTATTGGTAAGATGCTCTCAAAGAGGACAAGCGACAAACTTGTGTTGCCTATAAAGCCTATCACATCCATTACAATGTTTAATATCACAAAATTCAATAATTTTCACTGTAGATTCATAATTATATACATATTTCTTGATAAGAAATTTAAAAAAAACAACTGTTTTTTATTACTTAATTTTTAATTAACTTTTTTTTGAAAGAAAAAAATTAATTTAACCATTTTTTTCGAAAAAAAATTAATGGTATTTTTTTAAAAAAATTAATGTAACATTTTTTTTAATTAATATAACAATTCTTAAAAAATTAATAACAGTTTTCTAAAAAGTTAATGTAATACTTTTTTTTAAAAAAATTAATGTAACTTTTTTTTTTTTAAAATTAATGTAACATTTTTTTCAAATAATTAATGCGACTCTTTTTAACAAAAATAAAATGTTAGATTAATTATTAAAAAATATAAAATTGCATGCAATTATTATAAAAAAAAAAAAAATACATCTCTAACCTTGCAAACGATGGTACATTAAAAATTTTCTTCAGAAAACACACGCGATTTAACAAATTTCATAAACACTCCCAAAACTACGTTTCTAAATAATTGAAAAAAAATTAATAAAAAAAAATAATAAGAAACAAAATAATGAAATTATATAACAAAAAAAATTATAAAAAAAATTATATTAACAAAATTATAATAATAAAAGCAAAAATTAATAATAAAAAAATAAACATAATAAAAAAAATAATAAGAAACAAAATAATGAAATTATATAACAAAAAAAATTATAAAAAAAATTATATTAACAAAATTATAATAATAAAAACAAAAATTAATAATAAAAAAATAAACATAATAAAAAAAATAATAAGAAACAAAATAATGAAATTATATAACAAAAAAAATTATAAAAAAAATTATATTAACAAAATTATAATAATAAAAACAAAAATTAATAATAAAAAAATAAACATAATAAAAAAAATAATAAGAAACAAAATAATGAAATATATATAATTTTGAAAATACACCAAAATTTTTATTTTTATTCTTCGCATCTGAAAAGAAAAATTGAAAAAGAATTTCAAATTTTTGGAACAAGTTTAAAAGAAAAATCTTTCCTCGTCGAATTAAATGATTCTCAATGTCACGGTCGTTCGAGTTTACCGTAAAATTGAAACCACCGTTATATTCAATGATCTACAATGAGAATATTGTCCTGCGCAAAATATAAAAAAAAAAAAAATAATTTTTTACCTTAATTTTAAGAATACAATAAATACAAAATAATAAATAATAATTTATATCTGAATTTTCTTTTCACTTTTATTTATGCAATAAAACATTTATACATATACACTTGTTTTGTATTGTGTCTTCTTCTTTTTTATTTCTTATTTTTTTTACAAAAATTTAATTTCAAAATTACGCAAAAATTGAAAGGCCCATTATTTTGGAAGCTCGGTCAATTTTCTTTGTTTTACTTTTTTGAGCAAAATTTGCTTGTTGAAAAAAAAAATATTTATTTAAAAAAAAAGAATCAAAATTAAAATTAATCAATAATTGGGGGAAAATTTTATTTTTGCCAATCAAAAAAAAAAACTTGTCAATTTTAATTTGCACTTTTCACTTCTTCCAAAAAATAATTTCATCAGTAATTATAAGACTGTCATATATGTATTACAATTTTATAATAAGAAAAAAAAGGAACATACAGTTAAAGGATATGCTTTCTCATGTAACCCTCAATCAACTCTACTTTCTAAGTGTCTTATGATCGATTTTTTTTCTCCTTTAAAAACATCAAGAATTCTGTGATTAAAGATTTTTTTTTGTTTTTTTATTTTTGCGAAATTTTTGCACAAGAAGCAATTTGCAAATGTAATTTTTTTTTTTTTTTAATTAATGGAGACGTTTTACTCTCGAATTCAATTTTTTTTCTGTCTGAATTTTTGGAATTAAAAAGTTTTTTTTCATAAAAAAGAAAATAAACAAATCTTGATCAAAAATTATTATTAATAAATAATTAAAAAAAAAAATTTTCAATTAGAATAAAAATTATAAAATCTCGTTTCTTTGTTTATAAAATTTTTGGAAAATTATTTGACAATTTTTCTAAAACTAAAAAAAATGTCCAGTTTTCTAATCGACAGGAAAAAAAAATCATTTCAATTATATAAAAGTGACCTTAAAATTCAGTTATTTAAAACTCGGACCTTGTAGTTACGAATTATACACTTTTGAGTATTCTGAAGTCTGATAAGTAATCACAGCTGTTTTACAATCTGAGCAGAAAGTTAATTAGTCCCTTAATTACATGACCTGACAGTATTTACAATTTTTTTTTTTTTATTATTATTATTTTAATCACTTAATATTCGTTGCATTTTTTAAATTGATTTAAAAAACCAAAAGAACTATTTATCTATATTTTAATTTTTATTATTATATAAGTTTCATTTTTTTTTTGTAATCAATTTATAAATAATTTTCATTATCACAAAAATATAAAAATATCTGAAAATTATCTACATAAATATTTATTTATTATAATATAAGAAATCCAGTTCCTTTTTTTTCAATAATTAGCACAATAAAAAGATAATTCGAATTAAAATGAAAAAAAAGAACAATTATCAATGCAAAATAGAATATTATCAAAAATATTATTTAATTGTCAGTCACATTTATTCTCAAGGAAGTAAAATATGTTTTTTTTTTAAATATCAGGTCATAAAGATAGTTTTATATTGAAAATAAAATAAAATTTCGGAAATTCTACAAATTCTGATTTACGAGAGCACATAATTTATTTTTTTTTTTAAAAAGACGTATAAAATAAATAATTAAACTTATAACTAAACGAAAAAAAAAAATTTTGAATTTTCCTAAAAAAAAAATGTACATTTATGGCAATGAAATTATAATTATTATAAAATTATTATTATTGTATAATTACATATTGCCAATGAAAAATAATAAATATATGATTATCAGTAAATTATCAAATTCATTTAATTATTAATAATCCGCAAATATTATAATTAAATATAATTATTGATAATACATCATTGTCATTGAATAATTTATATGATAATCCCTAATCAATTGCTAATTACTAACTAATAACAAATTAAAATTAATATAACTAATTATTTTTTTAAAAAAAGCTCAAGGTGTAAATATAGCAATCTTAAGCTTATATAGTGTCATTGACTAAAATTGGCTATTATTCGCATTTTGTATAGTTAAAAAATAGTATTTGCCAGCAAAAATTAATTATAATAAAAACCTTATTGAAATCAGTCCCTATGAAATTAGTTTTTAAATAATCAGGTAAAATGTTGCTCCTCTTCAACTGTAGTCTTTTCTTCTTATATCAAATGCTTTTTCATTTTTCATTTTTTTTTTATCAATACCATATTCATTTATAATCTAAAACATTTTTTTATTTTTCTTAAATATATTTATTTTATATTAATATTAGTGATAATTGTTTAAAGTGTTCTAGCAATTTTCATTTATGATTGTATTACTATTAAAATTTAGTTTTTTTTGTATATTATTTACTATTATTTTTTTTGTAATATTACTATTATTTTTGTATTACTATTATTTTTGTATTACTATTATATTTTGTATTACTATTATTTTTTGTATTACTGTTATTTTTTTGTATTGCTATTTTTTTATTACTATTTTATTTTGTAATTATTACTATTACTTTTTTGTAATATTTTTAATATTAATAATATATTTATTATGTTTTAATTATTTAAATTAATATTATTATTTTTAATTATTCAATTCATTTAAATTAATTATTATAGTTAATAATAATAATATTATTAAAAGCCTTAATAATTAATTAGTGCATTTTTTTTTTTTTTTTGCAAAGTGAGTAATAAAAATAAAGTTATATTTTTTTATACGATAGAAATTGTTTTTGCCTCAGGAGAACAATTTCTTGATGATCTCTTCGTTTTGATGACTGATGTGATCTTCCCTGATGAAAAAATTCTCTTCCTTAGCTGTTTTATTTTTTTTTATATATTTTTTTTTATCTTACGGTGTTGTTTAGGGCTTGTTGATTAAAAAACAAGGATTTTTTTTTTACAATTCACTAATATAATGGTATTTTTAAACAACTATACAAATTGATTTGGTGGACTGGTAAAAATAAAAAAAAATGAGTCCCCTTCTCGACATGAAGAAATTCTAAAAATACATGATTTCCTTTTTTTTGTGTATAATATACGAAAATTCGCTGGATTTTTTTTTTTAATAGCTCTCCATTATTTTTAAATTCAATATTTTTTTTTTTTCACTTGAATATCATTCGACATTGATGCTGGCACGTAGCAGTTTACACAAAGTTTTTATTTTTAAATTATTATTACTATTATATTATTATTATTATTATTATTATTATTATTATTAATATTATAATTATTATAATTATTAATATTATTATATTTTTATTCATCGCAATTAAAATCTAATCGATATTCGTGCGATTTGGGGCGCCGAAGATTATACAAAAATTTTCTTTTTTTTTCATTTTATAAAGCTTTGTATATCAAAAGAAAAAAATAGCTTCTTTTTTGTTTCTTAATCCTAGGAATTCTTTAATAGAATTTCAGAACTAAGAATTAAAAATTACATACTTTTATTACAATTACTATTAATATGGATATTAATTCGATTTAGTCAGCCTTTTTATTCAGATAAATTGGAAATCTATTTCAATTCAAGTTTTTTAAATACTAGTAAACATAAAAATTTTTTTTTGCAACGGAAAAATTTCCTATAAACAAAAAAAAAATATTTTTTTTTTTGGAATAATTATGTACAATGTTTCTTATAAATTTGTGATCACAATTATTAATCCAATTTGTCAATTTCTTTTTTTTTTTTTATCATTTTTAAAAACAAATTTTATAAAAAAATTTTTTTTTTCAATACTGTGATCGTATAAATTCATAAGTTTTTATAAAGATAAAAATATTTTCATTTTCAGAAAAAATTTCCGCACTATTTTTCATTTCAGCGCCCCTTTTTTTTTAACATTTAAACTTTTTTTTTCTTTCTTTCTTTTCCTTTTTTTTTGAAACGATCTCTGAAACATTCATTCACACGTACAAACATGAAATTTCTGATTCACAATTTTTATTCTTACAAATAATTCTTAGTTGTGTACTATTATTTTTTTTTTATACAGAGCCCAAAAAAATGCTAGGCCGAAATAACGGCGAGTCAAACTCTCTTTCCTGATATATAATCATGATTCGCGATTTTCATTTTTTTTTTTTATATAGGAAACATATTTCTGATTAATTGTACGCGACAATTACAGTTGAAAATATATACATTTAAATATATATATATATATAATATAATTTTTCTGTATTTATTTATCTATTTATATATTCATGTTTAATTTAATCTAAGCGTTGATCGTCTCAATGAAGAGTGAATCGAGAAATTCAATTTTTAAATCTTTACAAGTCAGAAATTAAAAATTGTTATTTTTAATTTATTTCTTCAAGTTTTATTATTTAAATAAATATGAATCTTTTTGTTTGAATTTTATTATTTAAAATAAAACTTTATTTATTTTTACTATTTACAATAAAAAAAAATGAATAATTTTTTTTTGGATTCATGCAAAAATTACTGTAATTTTTAAATATTAAAAAGAAACAGTAGAAATTTGCAAAGATTTGAAAAAATGAAGATCTTAATTCATTTTTTCGAATACTTGAGAATAAGAACGAGCTTTTTTTTTCTATTTATGATACACTGCTGGCATTTAATAATAACACTAGAATCTGTCAGTGTGTATATGCTTCAAGCTTATTAGTGTAAATCAATTTCTTCTTCTTCTTCTCTTTGTATAAAAAAAAAAAAAAATTGTATATCACCATTGCTCGAAGAGACGGAAGAAAAGGATCATTTATACTTCATAATTGCGGTACAATCAGAACTCGGCAGAGAAAATAACACAGTCGTTGTTGGATGAATAAAAAAAAAGTACATAAATGATTTGTTTTTTTTTTTTCTTAAAGCACAATTTCAAAGGCTTCCACAATTTTTTTATCATTTTAATCAAGAATTTTCCAATAAATAATAATTAAAAATCAATAATGTAAAAAAATTTTCTCAATTTTTAATTGTAATGAATTATTAATAAATTATTTTCACAGAACAATATAAAAAAAAAGTTTGAAAAAATCAAAGACAGAAGCCTTTAAGTAGATTGTCAATAGAAGTGAAGTTATTTTTTTTAGAGTTCTCAGAAAATTGAAAATCTACAAAAAAAAACCTAAAAAGGAATTAATAATTAAAAAACTGTAAATTACTTAACAATTATTTAATTACTAAATTAAATTAAAGATTAATTATTTAATTCATAATTAAAAATTAATAATTAATAATTAATAATTAATAATTACTTAATTAAATTTTCATCAATTAATAATAATTACAAATAAAAATTTTACATTACGTAAAAAGAAATTCTCAATTTTTCCTTTAGAACTCTAATTACAATAAAAATGATTAACAATAAAGAAACGATACTTAAAATTTTTTTTTTTTTTATAGATAAATAACAATAAAAATGAAAATAATTTTTTAGTATCTTGACGAGTAATATTATTGAAAGTACATAATTTTCTTGAAAATGATAGGTGACAAAAAAAATTTTTTTTTCTATTTTCTCCTCTTTTTTTCCACTTGTCAAAACATTTAACATTTTTATCAACAAATATTTGTATAAAAAATTATTATTTGACAAAAATATTTTAAAAATATTTAGTCTAATAAATACTATATAATTATTAGAAAAGTACTTAAATATCTGTTACTAAAAATAAATATAAATTTCTTTATTAAAAAAAGATTTTTCACAATTTTAATTTTCGGTAATTTATTTTTAAAAAAAAATTGTAAATTTTTGACAAGATTAGAAAAAAAGGACTGTGTACATTATTTTCTAGTTTTCGTTATCTATTAACAAACTTAAATATATAAATCTGTACGACTTTCACTGATTTTAGTTGTTTTTTTTTTTTTTTTTTTATATATAAAAACATAGGTACGAGGTCATCTAATGTAAAGCATTGCAAATAAAATAGGTTCTCTGTATATTAGGTCACTGGTATTTCGGTCCTTAATATAATTACTTAACTAATTATACTTTAAGCGGTTATTTAGCAGAAAAATAAACAAAAAGGATAGCCATCGAGAATAAAATATGGAACTTTCTACTATATTGTTTTTTTTTTTAAATAACTTTAACTTAGTGGGAGATTACGAGTTTATAAAGAGGATTAGCTAATCAGTCTTGTATTTGAGGCTCATTATGTCTAGTTTCAACTGAATTTGCGTTGCTCGCGCATATTATCCATTTTTTTTTTCTTCGTCGCTTTGAAATTCGTTTGAAAATTCTTAGGTTTTTTTTTCTCTTTTTTTTTTTTTTGTTTTTTAATTTTTCTTTTATAAACAGCTTTCAAGGGTGGGGGATCGACCTTTTCATCCGTCATCAATCTTGGCTCTCACTGGGCTAAGACAGTCTACGTTCTCTCCTCTACATGAAAGCATAATATGCCTCTGAACTTTGAACCTGACTTCCTGGAGCAAGGGACAAAATCCGATCGTAGCACCAAGTATTATATAATTAATTTTTTCTTTTTTTTTATTTTTCTTTTCTTAATATTTCACCGCATTCTGCCACTTAATATTATACATATAGTAGAAAAAAAAAAATTCTCTATCTCTGTTTATTACGAATGGAAATTCTTTGTAAGACTCTTTTTTTTTTTTTTTTAAAGCGAGCCTTTTATTTTACGCGGAGAATTACTCGGTTTGTACCCATTGGCTCCAAGAAACAGTATGGATATACACAGACAGATATTTTACATAGTTTGATTTTGCGATAAGCCCACCTCATTGTATACACTTGAACCTTTGTTCGATTTCGAAACTGCTCAAGTTTCAGTTACAAATATAATATTGCTTTCAACTTCATTACACTTTTTTTTTTCTTCTATTTACAGTAAATGAGAAAATAAAATTTTATTTATTTAAAAAAATAATATTTAGAATTTAAAAAATTGGAAAACTACTTTAAAAATAGAAATATTCGAAAAATTATGTAAATTAAATTATTAATTTATATAATTAATTATATTTCTAGAGAAAAAAAATGCAATCTTTCAATTTAAATTGAAAGTTAGAAATTGAGAATATAAAAAAAAAATGTAATAAATAAAAGCAATCGCTGAATGACGAATGTTGAGGGCTTGTCTGATAAATAGTTTCTATATAAGTATATTGAAGAAGCTAAATAAAGCAAGGTGCTCTTTAAACACATTTGGTGGTAAAAACATCTCTCGTATAGTATTGCCGACTTGAAACTCTCGGACGACTTCTAATTCTCGTAACAAAAAAAAAAAAAATATATTGAACACGCCAATTTCAAAAAGCACCATACTTCTCAAATTCATTCGCATGCGAGGACACAGTTCTGTGCAAGATGGTTCAGAAAACGCTTTTTTTTAAAATCGTTCGTACATAAAGTGCCGTAAGAATGTTATTTTATAAAATCGAAAAACAAATTTAAATTCAAAATTAGAATTCAAATAAATAGTTTTTTTAGTTACTAGAAACGTTCTGAACCACCTCCGGGTACTATAAGGTCGCTGCAATTAATTAATTAATTAAATTGATTATTAATTTAAAATCAATTAATTAATTAATTTACAATTTCGCCAGTGATTGTAATTATTTCATTAATCACTTAATATTACTCAATTCATATTTTGATTGACCAATTATTAATTTAGATTGATAATTTCCTAATTAATAATTCAAGTAAACAAATTATTAATTAATCAAACAATAATTAAATATTCAATTAATAATCGATTAATTAAATATTCAATTATTACTTAAAAATAAAACGAGTAATTGATTACAACTTTTTTCCATTCTTCGATTTTAGTAAAAAAAAACAAAAAAATTTCAAAAAAAAATGTAAATAATCATTTTGAATTTTATATTTCTTTCCTTTTTTGAAGGGTTCGAGCGACGAGTATCGCGTCTGGGAAGCCGGAGATGTGTTTCAGTTAAATATTTAGTTTTTTTTTTTTTATATTACAAATAATTAATCAAGTTCAATCTTTGATATTGACTTAAATACTAGATAGGTCAAGATGGTTGCCACAACATGCATATTTTATAATACTGTCCACACACTTGATACTCGACTTTGATAATAAATTGTGTAGGTATTTGGTACGAGTTTCCGCGATTATAATTTGCAATAATTTTTTTTTTTTTCGTGGACACGCGAGATTAAAAAAAAAAAGATCTGTACACACGCAGCAAAGTTTTCTTTTTTTTTTTTCTTCTCGTTTACTTTTAAACTCTAATCAGGGAGACGGAATTAAGACGCATTTTTTCTACACCCGTATATGGAATATAAGGAATATCGAATCTTTAATATGTCAATCGAAATTTTACCATTCGATTAAATCGCTTTTACATCTAAAAAGTGTAAAATGTACCTTACGTTTGTAGCTTAGATTAGTGTTATTATTATTTTTCTTTTAAAAACTTTCATTCTTCTCCATTCGCGTAAAAAAACAAAAAAAAAAAAAAAATGAAATCATCCCTTATATACATAAAGGAGGGATTTCTGTTTTTTTTGTAAAAAAAAAAATGTTTTCATGCCCAAAGCACATTTATATTTACCTTGTAAAGTTGAACGTTGACCTTGTAATGTGGGCAATTTTTTTTTTTTTCTCAAAAATAAACTACGTGGTCGCGTTACCGATATATCCGTTATTTAATGTTTCCGTTCGATTTCTATAATCTGATTGACGTTTTTTCTCCTTATCATTATTATCATTTGTCTCAATATCAATTGTATTTAATGATGAAAAATTCATGCGTAATGGTGCTTTTTCAATTTTTGTATTTAACGCAATTATTTCGGGACTACGATTTTCATAATCGGGATCGGCACGTGATATTTTCGATGGACTTGGACTGTCGATAAATGATTTTTGTGCCGAATTTTGTGGACTTACGGATTTTGCCAATGACGATTCACCGCTTAAACTTTCACGCGATAAACTCTTGTTTTGTGCGAACGGTGAACTCTTGACTGATTTAACACTATCTTCAGCGAATGGTAAATTTAATGTATCTTTACTTGATGCTTCATTTGATTCAACTGAAACACCATCGAAATCATCGAAACCAGCTTTTTGTGGTACTTTCGCTGAATTATAATCGTGAAAATTTGAAAATTTCGAACCATTACTATAAAGATCTAATGCATATCTTGGTGATGAATTTCTCTTCAAACTGAGTGGCATAAAATCAGCAAAATCACCAAAATCACCGAAATCTTGACGTAGAGGAGAATCTTCACCATCAATTATTTCCTCCCCTTCTAATATCTCTTTGAGTATCTCTTTGATGTCACTGTAACATAATTTTTATTTACTTTTCTGTTTAGCGAAACAACTAATTATTTTTTTTTTCAATTTTATTTTATTTAACAAACATTTTCTGCTAATTATAATTCTAGAAAATGTTGCTTATGAGATAATGAGGCTGCAATTTTATATAATAGCCATCAATGTATCAAATAAAAAAAAAATTAAAAATATAATTTCGTAACTAAAAAAGTGACTTACTCTTCAGTGTACGAGGAAACGGAAGCATTATGAGCCACTGCATCAGCGCCTTCAGGTGAATGAAAAAAACTAACATCATGAAAATCCTCTTCCGTAAAATATAAAAAAACTTTGACAATATCAATAAACGTCGGACGTCCATTTGATTTATAACACCACGTTCTTCTCATTAATTGATAAAGAAATTTCGGACAATTTTCCGGCTTTTCCATAACTCCACCATCAATTACATAACGCAGAGTCTAAAAAATAAAAATAAATTCAAATTTATCCCAAAAAAAGAAAAAAAAATTCTAATTACCTGATCATTGGATAAACCTTGATAAGGTTGCAAAGCAAGTGTAACCATTTCCCATAAAACAACACCATAACTCCAAACGTCCGAGAAACTTGTAAATACTCCATCTTTTAAACTCTCTGGTGCCATCCATCTCACAGGTAAAAGACCCTTTGTTCCTTTTCGATAATAATCGGTTTCATAAATATCACGTGTCATTCCAAAATCGCCAATTTTCACCGTCAAATCTTCAGCAACCATACAATTGCGCGCAGCCAAATCACGATGCACGAATTTTTTAGCCGAAAGATAAGCCATACCATCGGCAATCTCAATAGCCATTCTTAGAATTCTTTTTAATGTTGGTGGCTTAACGGTTGGATCTTCACACGCATCCGGTCGATGATTTCTCAAATATTCCTTTAAATCCCCATTTACCATCAACTCCATAACAACCCATGTTGGTAGTCCACGTGAAACAACTCCCAATAATTTCACAACATGATGAGTATTAAAAGCCCTTAAAACAAATTATTAATAAAATTAAATTTTTTTATTTACTATTTTATTTATTTTTAAAATAAAATTTTTTATAGAATTTATAAGGTAGCCTAACTAAAATAAAAATTCCCGGTTTTAGAGGCGTAAAAATCTTTTTTCCCGGTTAAAATTATTTACGAGATTATTAAATAACTAGCAAAATTAAAAGCGCGCAAGCGCGCCAAATTGAGTATTTAATTCTTTGTTATAAAGAAATTAAAGATTAATATTATCAATAATAATTTAATTTATTAGAATATTATTACATATTAAATGATAATAATGAAAATTATATGTTTACAGGCCTCGGATTATACGACTTTTTTCAAAAATACGACTTTTATCGACTTATTCTAATAAAATGAGACATTTCTTTTTTAACGTTTGAAAAAAAATGTAAATAAAATATATTTTTTTAGTATAAAATGTAGATCTTCTTCAGATCTTCTTCAATTCAATTATTTAACAAATTTTGAACTAAAATGATTCTTCACTAAATTAATTATTTTTAATAATTTTAATGAAATACATCACAAATTCAATTATATCAAAATTATTTTTCAATTAACATTTTTATGAAATTTAACAATTGTTTATAATTAAAAAAAAAAATATCACAATAAAATTGAATTATTTTTTAAAAATTTCAATTTAAAATAAACTAAAATTCAATTATTACAAGAAATTTTAATTCAAAATCAATTAAAATTCAATAATTATTAAAAATTTTCAATTTAAAATTTAATTATTTACCAAGTTTTCAATTTAAAATGAAATAAAATTCAATTATTTTCTAAAATTACTATTCAAAATTAATTATTTAAATTTTCAATCAAAAATCAACTTAAATTAAATTATTATCCAAAATTTCAATTAAAATTCAATTATTTCCCAAAATTTTCAATTCAAAATGAATTGAAATTCAATTATTTTCCAAATTTAAAATCAAATAAAATTTAATTATTCTCAAAAATTTGAATTCAAAATTAATTGAATTTTCAATAATTTGAATTTAAAAGCATCTAAAATTTAATTATTTCTAAAATTTTCCATCAAAATTTTTTTTTTTTTGAAATTTAATAATTTCAATTATAACTCTAAGGAAATTCAATTATTTTTAACTATTTTAATAATATTCTTTGAAATTTCAATTATCTGAAACCATTTTTCAATTAAAAATGATTTTCAAATTATTGTATTTTGTCCGCATTTTCTAATAAATTTTTAGTGAAATCATCTAAAATTTTAATTACAAAACACTTAAAGTTTCAATTAATTTCAAAAATCTCAATTTTAAATCTTTGAAAATTCAATTAAATTTAAAAAATGTTTTCCAAAAATTGTTTGATAAATTATTTTTAGTTCTGTAAAATTTAATAATTGTTTGAAAATTAACAATATATTTTGAAATTTAATTATTTCTAAAAATTTCAACTTTAACCCTTCGAAAAGGATTATTATTAAAAAAAAATTTTTTTATTTAAAAATCTGTAAAATATTTTTGTTAAAATAAAAAACAATTCTACTTTTTTTGGAATATAAATCGACTAAAACGACTTTTTTATGTCTTTAAGTTGATTCGAGGCCTGTGTTTTTATAATTAACATTTAATAGATATTCGTTGGCCCCTGGTACCTTAAAAATTAATTTTTAAAAATAAATTTATTTCAAATTACTATCTTGTACGAAACTTCCTGGCGCATCTTTTTCTCATCATAAATTTTTTCTATTTGTATACAATTTTTGAATCAATATACAACTTTAAAAAAAATTTCGTTGGTAAACGTTGTGTACTTCAGCTTCGTGAATTGAATTTTCGAATTTGGAATTTTAAAGAAACTTATTCCGAAATTTGAAAACACAATTATACAACTTTGGCAAAAATGAGAAAAAGAATTGTCAAAATTTGACACGTCATAAGATTACTATTCAAAAAAAACACGTGAAATCAAAAAAGGCCAACTTCAAGTTAAGACAGAAGAACAGACCAAGCATTTTATTATTATATAATAATTCCTGTCTTTTTTCCCGATCAGTGGCCAACTCTGAATTTAATTTAAAATAGAAATTCAACCTCTATAATAAATCTAAAGCAATAATAAAGATTGAAGAAAATAAATTGAACTTACTTCATTACTGAGGCTTCATTAAGAAACTCGATACGTTCACGATCGGTTGCTTTATCATTGACAGTCTTGATAGCGCAACGTACCTCATGCTTTCCTTTAACAACATCGAAAGCTTTTCCCTCGTGTACCATTCCAAATGATCCATTACCAATTGGTTTAGTTACTTCAAGTTGAACTTTCTCCCTTGGAATTTCCCATTCATCAGGAATGTAAACAGTACTCACATATTCTGGATTGACAGTCGCTATTAATCTCATACTTGGAACATTACGCATTTTTCTTCTACATGCATAAACAGAACATCCCGATAAACTCATAATTACAATTATTAATATAATTGTAAATATAATCCAAAATTTTCCATAATTATATTCATTTATATAGACAATTTTTTCATGTGTATAATTTCCATATCCAGCTAAACTCACTGCACGTGCTTTTATTGTATAATTACCAGCCGGAAGATCTTTTAATGTATAAAATTTATTGCGAATAAAATCTTTTCTCGTTAAACAAATTGTCGTTGGTTTTATCTAAAAAAGAATTTTTTTAAATTAAAAAAAATTAAAATAAAATATAAATTACTAAATTCAGAATAAATTATTAATACTTACGTTTTGTATATCGCGATTTTTGTATTCAACTTGATAGGTGACAATAAGACCATTAGGCTTTTGTGGCTCGTTCCATTCGAGTTTAACTTCAGGCGATGGAAGACTAGCATTGTCTTTGTTTGTTGTTGAAGTTACTTTAAATGAATCCGCTGGAATATCATCAGCGCAATCCAGTGCCATTGTTCGATAAGTCTTCATGCTTTTAGTTGAACAATAATCATTTATTGATCTGTCGTTTGATGTTATTTCACGGCATGCTTGAATTTCAATATTATAAACAGTAAAATGCCTCAGTCCACTTATCACAAATGTAATAGGACCGGTGGTATAATTGGTTGTTGGAATTCTCCTCTCGAATTTCAGTATTTTTCCATCTTCCATTTCATCAGGTGGTATTGGTTCCTCCTTAAGTGTCGTATAATTTTTTATATTCCCATCTTTTGACGATTTCTTCGTTCCTCTTTGTCCCGCTTCTTTGTCCTTCAAGAAAACATTAATTAATGAAATAAAAAGTAAATCAATGCTAATTTTTGAAAAAAGAACATTATTTTTTTACCTTATTTTCGCTGGAAACATCGCGTTTTTGAAATGAAATTTCTTCAGTCATAATTACTTCACTTACGTCACGTCGTCTACGTGATGTTGGCCTTTTAACATAAACCTGATTATGTAAAGCATCTTCAAAAGCAATAGAACTCGTGGCATCTTTTTCCCGTGTTGAAGAATCAACTTCACGACTTGAACAATCACAAACATCAGTTTCTGGTTCAGTGACACTTTGTTTATCAGCCTCAACTTTTTTATTCTCCTCATCAATTAAAATTGCCTTTGCTGGTCTTTTCTCAGGTGCTGATAATGCTGAAATAATTTTTCTATTAGAAAAAATTATTCTAATTTCTTACTAGAAATATGATTTTATTATTTTAAAAACTTACGTTCCTCGCAGTAATTTCGTTGTTCGAGAAAATGTGAATCGTCTGGTTCATATCGACCGACAATACGATAATGAGTTAAATTTCCATTTCTCTCAGCTGGTGGATGCCAAGTCATAATTAAAACATCACTGTCATTACTGTAAGTCGAAAGTTTTTGTGGTACACTCGGAGCACCGGGTAGTGTTGTAAAATAAGTAATTTCACTTTGTGCACCTGAACGTTCAGTGGCAATAGTATATGTCTTTATATAAAATGCATATTGTGTATATGGTTTTAATTTTGTTAAAATATGTGTTAAAAATTGTTTAACATCAGTATTATTTTTAAATCCAGGCGAATAAGTTTCTGTTGGTGAAACATCATCAACTTTCCAACCATCGCCACCGCATGCATCTCTTCCATCATACATGGTGACATTTTGAAATGGTGCTTCAATAAAATACACAACATAGCCCAATAATGAACGTGGATCGTGATGTTCAAATGGCGCCCAAATAATCAAAGCCGCATTAGATGCTTTTTTATCAATTTTCACTTGAAGCAATGTCACGTTACAGGCGTTTTTATCACCATTGCTATTTGGCGCAACTTCCACCTCAGTGAATGGCTCCAACTGTGCAACCTCACGAAGTTTTTCAATTTTTTGCAAACAAAGTTTTGGATTAAAATGAAAAAACACCTTTCCCGGTCGATTGTTCCTATGAAGAATTTTAATTGTTTTATTTGAACTCCAATCCCAAAGTTCTTGAAGATTTTGATTATCAAGAACAATTAATGATTTTTCATTATTATCAACATATTTGCCGCGTATAATTTTTAAATTTTTCAAAAAATTCAATGAAATTAAAGGAAAACTTCGCACAACTTTTAAATAACCATCAATTTCTTCAATCATACTGAGACTATCCTCCATTTCTTTGACAATATTTTTTCCACCTCTTATTTGAATTTCCAAACTACCGGTAATATGTGTACAACCACGTAATCTTTGCGCTGATGCAATACTATCAATATTTGCACCGCCACATTCTTTTTGACATGGGCCATTACATTTTTTGCATGTTGTCAAATTATTTGATTCATCATCCATATAGCCAACGGGACAATCCATTCGACAAATATTTTGAAATGGTTTATATGGATAGTCTTTGTGAACATTTAATGCCTCACGTGGTTTCTTCATAGTTCGACATTCATTCTCAGTAATACATTTATAATTCATGAATGCATAGGTGGATTCTGGACAACGATCCACACACGTATTTCCAATCATGACATTTTTGCAAACTGTACAATTACTGGCAGTCGATGCAGAACAACCGCCAAGACATGATCGATTACAACATTCACCGGATAATGTGCATGTTCTTCCATCGCATGTATCACATACTGAAACAAAAAAATTAAAAATTAATTTTATTTCAACAAAATAATTACAGAAATAAAAATTTAAATAAATTAAATTCTCTTTTTAATTTAAAGTCAAATTATTTTCGAATTCTTTCCTTGAAACGATATTTTGTATTCTTATGAGGGTTTCCGGTGAATTTAAAATAACTTGAAAAAAAAAAAAAAATGCGGATTTCGAAAAAGTCTTGAAAAAAATTCCTATGGAAAATTTATCACGGTAAAATAATTGTCAGAAATATAAATGAAAAAAAAAACCATAAAAGAAATTGATTAAACAATCGCAATTGTTTGTTTCTTTTTTTTTACAAATGCTTTGCGAATAATTGGTAACAAAACAACTCAATTACGTTTTAGTCAAAGCAACGGCGATGACATCCGGAATCAGTTACATTGTTTTGATAAAACCAGCTTATCATTTTATTATGACACTGAAGGTCAGTGAAAAAAAAAAATATTAAAACAAACTAAAAAGAAATGATATCAAATCAATTAAAAAATTAATTTCAAAAATCTAAATTCAAATTTGAAATTACAGAATAAAAAAAATTACACAAAAATTGTTCAAAAAAAAAAAAATGTATTGACGAAATAATTTTTCTATCTATAATATTATCGATTAAAAAGGAAAATATTGAAGGTGGAAGCTTGTAAATGATATCCTTGCTTGTAATTGAAAGCGTTGTTTGAATTGTAATCGAATTCTGGTTCGTGCAAACATTTTTCGAGCACTGAATACGTTATAGAGTTTATTCAGTTTATTCCTCTCTTGGACTCTCGTCGTCGTCAATGATAACAACACGTATTCGCCCTCGATAAAGCAGAAGATTAAAAGACAGAATAAATCTAGTGGTAGTTCATTAATTCAAGCACCGTACGCTCTTTCTTCCAAATATCATCCTGTTCCCAATAAATTTCAAAGAAATGCGATGAGAGAACAAAAAAGAAAAAAAAAAAAAAGAAAAAACATATCTTCAAACTCGGACAAAAAAAGAGACATACTCTCTGAAATTGTAATTTTTCCATCAACTTGAATTCTTATTTAAAAAAAAAAGAAAATTGATAACTTTATTCTGTTTTTAAAAATAAAGTTACTGCGATCCTGACAAAAATAATTATATAAAAAGAAAATGGAAAAATTATATTTTATTTTTAAAGAAAAATAAAATGGTAAAATTAATTTTCAAAAAATAAAATTATTTTCAGAATGATACAAAAATAATTGTAGAAAAAAAAATTGTAAAATTAATTTTTAAAAATAAAATTTTTTCCGGAATGATACAAAAATAATTGTAGAAAAAAAATGAAAAAATGAATTTTATTTTTGAAGAGAAATAAAATGGTAAAATTAATTTTTAATAATAAAATTATTTACGGAATAATACAAAAATAATTATATAAAAAGAAAATGGAAAAATTATATTTTATTTTTGAAGAAAAATAAAATGGTAAAATTAATTTTTAAAAATAAAATTATTTCCGGAATGATACAAAAATAATTGTAGAAAAAAAAAAATGGAAAAATTAATTTTATTTTTGAAGAGAAATAAAATGGTAAAATTAATTTTTAAAAATAAAATTATTTTCGAAATGACACAAAAATAATTGTAGGAAAAAAAATATGGAAAAAAGAATTTTATTTTTAAAGAAACAAAAAAATAAACTTACTTTTTTGGCAGTGTTCTTTGTTCCAGCATAAATGCTCATTCTTGTTCGTCTCTCTTTTTGGACAGCCTTTTTCACAAATTGGACAACCGTTTCTCGGTTTGTTTCCCTAAAACAAATAAATATTTCTTTATTAATAATATTTTTACTAATTAAATATAAATTACAATTCCTAAGGTAAATATTGTATTCCAACTTTCTTTTTTTTTTTTTTACTAAAAAATAAAGTTATTTTTCAATGAAAGTTTACGTCACTGTACCCTTATAGACTGATTAGATTGTGAAAAAAAAAAAGAAAAAAAAATGAATGGTCAATTGAGTGAAGTTGAATGAATGGAAAAAAATTATGTTTGCAAGAAAGTGATTGAAATGAAAAAAAGAGAGAGAAATATATAGCCTTGAATGAATGGATACGCAATCGAGTCCAAAATAGAAATAATCCATCGTTTGTGTTTACTTGGACCGGATTTACTCGGATAAGCGGAAATCACATATAAGTATATAGCGTGTGTATCACCTCACGTACGCATAAACACACATTAAGTACTTACTCCTCTATAGTACTGTAAATACTTGAAACACATACATACACACCTGTAATTCTACCACCTGTGTTACGTTTCATTAAAAAAAATTTCCTCTAATCACGTTAAAATTTCGTTACAATAAATAAAAATCCCTATTCTCATATTTTGCAAAATTAAAAAAAAAATAAACAAATTAATTTATTCTAAAAACAAAATAATTAAAAATATAATAAATCATTAAATTTCAAAATCATTAATTTATCTTGAAAATAAAAATTTCCTTTTTCTTATTATTTTTGTTTCCAATTAAATTTGATATGTAAATCATGTAAATATTATTTTCAAATTACGACAAATTTTCAATGTCAAACAACTATTTTTTTTTTTTTTTTTTAAATAAAAATAATTTAATCACATATGCATATATAGAGTTAAATAATAATCATAATTTAAAGACGGTGGCATATATTTTAAAGAAAGTTTATTGCACCGCAATCACATTTGAGTGGCTATCACTTAATTTTACGATAATCTGATACTTTCCAGGAATTCAATCGAATAATAATTCTCCAATATGTGTCACTTAAAAACGTTATCGATTTACTTCACCAGAAAGTGCAACTCCATTTTTGCGACAAACAGCCATAAAGTTTCCTTTTAAGTAGAGTTTGAGATAAAGTTAAAAGCAATAAAATCCTTCAATAATTTTACCATAATCCATTATTTATTTTCTGATGGATTTAAAGTGTTCACTTTTATATATATATATATATATAAATAAATATATATCTTCGAAAAGTTATTTATTGCTTCGATTAAAATTTTTTTCACCCCCCTCTTTTTCAAAAAAATTAATTTTTATTAAGAACTCTGCAAAAGGGGTGAGGTGAGGGGGGGGGGAGTATAATAAATAAATAATAAATGTGACTTGAAATTTGCCGCATGTGAGATAAGAAAAAAAAATTCGCTCACGAGAACATTTAAATCAATGTTGTTAAAATTATCCAAATACTTTCGTAAATCAAAACTTGAATTAAGTCCTTCATAAATTTCTCTCAGTGATTAAAAAAATAATAAAAAAAAAAAGAAATACTGATATGGAAAAAGGAAAAAAAAAAACAAATCTTGATATATTCTACTTGTTTAATAATAATTAATACAAATTTTAATTTTAAATGTAAATTTTTCATAATCGAAAAAAATCGAGAGCAAATATTAAGACAAAAAAAAAATAAAATAAAATGCGCACCGTTTCTCACATATTGACCCTTTTTGCGTCTTTTTATTACGATCGTAAACCTCGTTGCTTTTGACGTCACACTTAATGTGACAATTTTAACAACAATGCCATATTCAGAAATTATGTTAGTGCGAACGATGTGTGCAACAAGAATTATTTACAAACTATACTTGTTATTCCTTTGAATATTAGATTAAAAAAAAAAAAAAAACGCAAAAAATATCATTGAATTAAAAATTAAAAAATAATGTTTTTGTAAAAAAAGGAAATAAAATAATAAATTTTTATAATAAAATTCTTCCCGATTTTTTCTTTTAGAAATGTTTCCGATTATAAAAAAAACTTAATTTTCGACAAGTCAGGAAGTATAGTTTATTCAACACACGAGAAACGCTTTCGATCCTTCGAGACTGATTTTTTTTTTTTTTATTTGTGACCTTCCCATTCTTTTCGTTCCCTTTTTTTTAATTTTTTTTGTGTCTGGGATATATTCCAAAGAAAGGATGATCGACAAACGATAGAGGGCGGCGATCATCTTTGTTTTTCATATTTCCGGTGTGTCAAAACATGTTATCTAATTAAAAAATATTCTCTCTCTTTCTCTATCGTCACTTCCTAACTTCTGACCTCTGGATTCGTTCAATTTTATTGCGCGCATCTTTTCTCTCACTTTATAAATAAAATTCGTCTGTAAAATGAAAAAAAAAAACAAAATTAATACCAATAAAAAATTTTTAATAAAAATTAAATTATTAAACGAATATTTATAAAATATAAAAAAAAAAAAACAATCGGAAAATAAATTTGATAAAACGCCGTAGAAAACTGTTCGAGTTCAAAGGTGTTTTTTTCCCCCCCTCTTTTTTTTTAAAATAGAAAATTTAACGGATTTTAACGAGATCTAATTAAAATTGAATAATTTAACTGAATCCTATTAAATTTGCATAGATTTCAAGTAACAAGAAACCATTCCTAATTTAATATACGATCAGATCTGTTATTTAAAGCTTCCTCTCCCGTATATCACACACAAATGAAACAAAAGCGAGGAGAATAAAATTAGTGATTCATTAGAACGTGCGAGGATTGGAAAAGAAAAAGTTAAGTTCATATATAGTTAACGGAAGAAATATATTCACCCGTAAATATATACACAACTAGAAGCATAATATATGCAAACATGTAGACGTTTCTTTATATATATATACAATAGAAATAACCAGTGCACCTAAAGAACTTCATTTTTTTTTTACTTTTCTATTTTTTTTCTTTCTCACTCTTTCTTCTATGATAATGCACGAATAATGTTTGGTCTATAACACGTGTCCACAATAATTTCTATATTTATCCTATATGCTGATAACTGTTTATTGACTATATATATATATATTTTTTTCTCAGTGTAAAATAAGCATAAAAAAAAGATTCGATAAATAATCATGTCCATATATATTGCGGTAGCTTGTTTTACCTTACTTAGCACATATTTAACGAGGCAAAACTAAAAATAGCATCCGGAAAAATAGATGTAGAAAGATATAGTGCATTTTCAAAGAATTGTTCTCTACTTGATTTTTATATAAGAATAATAGAAATTTAAATCAAGATTTTATTTTAATATCAAAATTGAACGAATTTTCAAGAATTTACAAAATTTTAGATTTAAAAAAAATAATAATTAAACTGAAAATAATGATTAAATTCAAATATTCAATTAATTTACTACTATTAAATAAATATTTTCTTAATTTTTTATTTCATTATTTGATACAAATAAATATTTATTCGATAATAGTCGATTATTTGAATCAAATAACTTTTTTCAGTACGTTGGTGAAGTTTGCAACGTTTATGATCAACGATTGAAAAAAAATATATATTTTTCACTCAAAAAAGAATAACTAATTTTTTGCCTACAATTTTTTTTTCAAAAAATTATTGATCAAGAAACGTTGCAAAAAAAATTTTTGGATAAATAATTTGCATAGAAAAATATTTTCTCTTCTCAATCGTTGATCATAAACGTTGTGAACTTCACCGACGTTTTTCAGTGTAGTTTTTTTAAAAAAAATTTCAAATTTAATTTATTGCAAATTATTTAATTTTTTCTCGTTAACTAATTTTTCAGTAATTTATATAAATAAATAAAAATAAAAAAAAAATAGGAATAAAAATAAATGAAAATTAAAAAAAAATACAAGCAAGGTGAAAGTAACTTTTATCAGTGTTTATCGCGAATAAAAAAAAAATGTTAGCGCTAACAATTCTATGAATAACTCGTCATTCATGCAATTAATGAATCGCATCTTTCTCATTCGATGACAAGGTGTTATGTCTCGAAGTTGGCATGTGAATGTCGTACGTTGCATATGTAACTAACTTGCGCGTACGTGACACGAATATTCAGAGAGATAACGACTCATCGATTATCTCATTAAGTCGCCGTTTAATCTAAAGAGAATCTCAGTTGCAGAAAGAAGAGAAGCTTCTACGTTTCGTCGCGCAAGCACGGTAAAAAGATATTTTTTTCCCCACCTATATTTATAATTTAAAAAAAAAATCTCAAATTAATCTCAATAAATTCAAAATTAATTACATTATTTATATTTTTAATTTAACTAATATTGATTTACTATCAATACTATCAATTAATCACATTTCAAAATAAATTAATTTCCCAGTGTCTATATATGTGTGTGTTAATTAAATTAATTACAAAAATTAAATTTAAAAAAAAATTAATTAAATGATAAAAATAATTATTAATTATAAAATTAAATTTTTTCAATTAAGTATTAAAAATGATTAATTTAATTTGAAAAAGTGAAAATTTTCAAATATTTGAATTTAAACTCACCGAAATAACGTGCTCTCCTTTTCCATTCTTGGCAATGATATCCCAGTCGATAGTGTTAGTGTAACAAAGTGCAGGATTCTTCTCGAAACGAACGGAGCCTCTTAAAATATCGGTTAAGGAATGTAGACCGATTTCCTGGAGGTGCATCATCTCAAAAGTCACCAGTGCATAATTGATAAATAATGAATTGCCACGGATCACGGTTAAATTTGGAAAAAGTCGACCAACACTTCGTAGACCGTTCACCCTGAAAAATAATAATAATTATATTAAACTGAAAATATTGATAAAAAACAGATTTTCATTTATTCTTTCAATAATTATTTATTTTAATTTATTTAATTATTAATTTAATTTATTATTATTTATATAATTATTAATTATTTATTATTTATTTAATTATTTTAATTAATTATAATTTTCAATTTATAAAAATAGTTTTGTAATTATAAAAAACAAGTTTTTGAATAAAAAAAAAAAATAGAAAATGAAAAACTCCATATGGGAATTTACATTTTAATATCATTTAAATTCATAATGATTAATTTTTCCATATATCATTTATATAAATAGTTGGAAAATTAATCGATTTTATCTTGATTACGATTTGAAATTTTTCTTTAGATTCGTTTCCTAATTGAAAAAAAAAAAAAAAAAAATGAAAGTTGATTGCAAAAATAAATCTATCTAAATGACACTCTCTATTTGAACTAAAGTCCCATTAAAAGAATTATATGACTTTAAAAATATACTATATTCACATTTCATGAATCGTACTTCCGTGAGGATTTTGCCAAACCGGATGTGCAGGCGATTCGTCTGCCAGATTCTAAATTCAACACACATGACCCTCTTCAATTCGCAATAAACTGGTTTATTGACATTTGAAAAGTGGCAATCAAAGAGCGCGCGTCATTTTAATAAAATTTCACTTCAAGAAAATATACTTATATATTGCTGAGAATTTTTTTTTTTAAATTACTTCATTATAAATTACAATAAATTGAATTTTATTATTGTGAATTTTTATGGAAAAATTTTAATTATACAAAAAATTATTTATTCACTGCAAAAAATAGGCAATCGTTTTTTCAAAATAGTTATTAGAATTTGGAATAATTTTCGAAACTTTTGATGTTTGGAAAAATAAAATATTGGAAATTTTTTTTTTTCGAATTTTTGTCCTCCAAGAATTTTACTTTTTGCAGTGTTAATTTTTTTTGTTACAAAAATTATTTGAAAAAAATATTATGAATTTTTGTTTTAGATTATTACCTGTAAAGTACGAGATATTCCGTGATTTCGACAAGATCTGGAAACGTAAGATTCGAAAAGGCAGAGTCGTTCGCATGATCGATCAGTAAAATTTGAACAAATCCTTCGACGACTCGACAACCTTGAAGTCTGCTGAACTCGCTAACTGAATTGCGTATGTCTATGCTTTGGCACACTGTAAACAAAAATAAAACAATAAAAATTTAAGTATTAGATAAACACACGCATAAAATTTTTTTATTAGTATAAGGAAAATTAAAAAAAAAAATCATAAAAAATAAATCAATAAATTAAAAAATAAATATGAAAAATTTTAATCTTTGAGATTTTTTTTTTTTTGCATAAGTAAAATTATTTAATTAAATAATTTCGTTATTTTAACAAAAATAATTTGGGCTACATCAAATAATTTAAATAATAAACAATTTAGGCACAAAATAATTTTGGTAATAAATAATTTAGACATGAAATAATTTGGGCAAAAAATAATTTCGATAATAAATAATTTGCACAAAAAATAATTCAGAAATAAATTAATTAGGACAAAAAATAATTTAGAAATAAAATAATTTCGATAATAAATAATTTGGATATTAAATAATATGGGCTAGAAAATAATTTAGGCAAAAAATAATTTCGGTAATAAATAATTTGCACAAAAAATAATTCAGAAATAAATTAATTAGGACAAAAAATAATTTAGAAATAAAATAATTTCGATAATAAATAATTTGGATATTAAATAATATGGGCTAGAAAATAATTTAGAAATAAAATAATTTGGACAAAAAATAATTTGGGCAAAAAATAATTTCGGTAATAAATAATTTGCACAAAAAATAATTCAGAAATAAATTAATTAGGACAAAAAATAATTTAGAAATAAAATAATTTCGATAATAAATAATTTGGATATTAAATAATATGGGCTAGAAAATAATTTAGAAATAAAATAATTTGGACAAAAAATAATTTGGGCAAAAAATAATTTCGGTAATAAATAATTTGCACAAAAAATAATTCAGAAATAAATTAATTAGGACAAAAAATAATTTAGAAATAAAATAATTTCGGTAATAAATAATTTGGATATTAAATAATTTGGGCTAGAAAATAATTTAGAAATAAAATAATTTAGAAATAAAATAATTTGCACAAAAAATAATTCAGAAATAAATTAATTAGGACAAAAAATAATTTAGAAATAAAATAATTTCGGTAATAAATAATTTGGACATGAAATAATTTGGGCTAGAAAATAATTTAGAAATAAAATAATTTGGGCAAAAAATAATTTTTAAGCTAAAAAATAATTTATGAATTTTAGCCAAACAATTTTTGGGCACATTAATTAAATTAAATTTTTATTTTTCTAATAATATTTATTGTGTATAATACGTTTTTGCAAACATTCTCGCACATCGACCTTCTCATGGTTCGCGTCTTTCTATGCTAGAGTGCGACCTCGATACACACGATTCAATGCCGAGGTCAAGGGAGTTCAACGTTTAAAAATAATTTCATCGTTCTCACAATTTAATGCTTTAATTTAAAGCTCCGTCATTCATTCGGATATGCACGCGAGTGTTTGCTAAACTTCCCTTTAAGAACAAAATTTTTCTCCTCTACTTACAGAGAGAAAAATATAGTATATATATTTTCTTTTCTCAAACAAAATAAACTATTTTTTCTTTTAAATTAAATTTTTTTTTTTATCTCAAAAATTTTGATCAAAAATTAAATTTTTTAATCACATCAATTAATTATATAATAAAATATTAATTAATAATAAATAATTAATAAAATATTAATAAATAATAAATAATTAATAAAATATTAATTAATTAATAATAAATAATTAATAAAATATTAATTAATTAATAAAAATTTCTTTGAAAATTCAAAATTACTTTTGACAGTTATGATATATAGTAACAATGAAAACAAAGGTGGAAGTCTAATTTTTATCATCTTGCAAATTAATTAAAATCGCGCATTGATAACAAACAGTAGTGTGTGAATTGCAATTAAGGACTTCACACTGCGAATTTTAAACGGGAGAGAGAGAAAAAAAAATAATGGCCTTGGTGAAAGGATGAAATGTTTAGCTCAATGTTTATTCACTATTAGCTAATGAGCATGTAATCTTTTATGCTGCATCTTCTACTTAGTGCATTATCTCACATTACCATAATTAATAGTCGACATTAAAACACATTATAAGTGTCTTAAAAATCATATTATAATACCATCTAAGGACTTTCATTTTTTTTTTTTTTTTTTAAATCATTCTTCCTCAAATATTACAGGAAAAAAATTGAAAATTTTATTTTTTTTATCGAAAATACATTATTAATAATTATTAATTAATTTATTTTATTATTTAATTATTAATTAATTTATTTTGTTATTTAATATATTTATTATTTTTATTTTTTTGTTTAATTAATTTATTTATTATTTTTATTTTATTATTTAATTAATTTATTTTATTACTTTTAAAAATAATTTCTGTAAAAATAAATCCAATTTCAACCAAACAGAAAAAAATTCCAAAAAAAAGATTTATAAACGACATTCGTGACTTTAGTTCATAAATATAAACGTTTTATACATTTCTTTTTATTTCCTCTTCAAGTTTTTCTTTTTCTTTTCTTTTTTTTTGATAATAGCAATAAATAAATATGTACGATTTCTTTATACGACATAATTAATTGGCAATGTTAAATAGACATAGCGATAATATCCATAAATTCCAACAATATATATATATATATACAATGTATTTACGATTATTCGCTTCTTATAAACTTCATAATTCTCTTATTGCACATTACCAATGTATATATAAAGGTAATAAATTCTAGTGCAGATTAAAGGGTATAGATTGGAAAATTGCTCATGGGAATTTAAAAAGAGAAATTACAATGTGTTCTTAACTTATAATGTTATAAGTAAAAATTTCCGGCACTTGGTACATTGAAAAAAAATTTATTCGATTCAAATAATCGACTATTATCAAATAAATATTTATTTGTATTTAAATAATTATTGTTTAAGTCAATTAAATTGTAATTTTTTTTTAAATACAGAAACTATTAGTTCAAATTATCTAATTATTCAATTATCGTTTATAATAATAATAATAATATAATAAATAAATAAAATAATAATAAAAATTATTTGGTCCAAGTAAATATTTATTTAATTCAAGTAATCAATTATTTGCATCAAATTAAGTTTCAAATAATTTTTATCAAATTCTAAAATTCAATTTTTAAAACATTTTTAATTCTCCCAATTTAAAATATTTAAATAAAATTTCTTGGATAAATTTCAACACGGAAAAAAATATTTACCCTGAAACAGGGAAAAATGTTTCACTAGAATAGCGAAAGATTTAATTGAAGCAAGTAAAATTTTTTGCTACTATAGTGAAACGTTTCAAGATAAATATTTTTTTTTCCCTGAAGGAATAATTAAAGAATTATTCAAATTTACATTTAATATCGAATAAAAATGTAAATAATAAAAAATAAATAAATAAAAATCATATATTGTATACAGTGATAATGTGTTGTGACGGTGCAATTCGTAACGAATCATAAAAGAGAGAGAGAGAGAGGGAGAGAATATAAAATCTTTGCCAACTCGTCTTGGGAATGATTCTCATGATTCATGGTTGCGATTTCATGGTAGATGTACCGTGATAAAACAATTACTTTTCTCTTAACTGATGACGTCAATCGCGCAAACCACAATTAAAACTTCATTATATTTTTTTTTTCGTCAACTAAAAAAAAAAAAAACACTATTTTTATCTCAAAACTTTCACAAATCCATGAAAAATCGTTTACAATTTTCTTTTAAATTGTATATACAAGAAAAATTTTACTTTAAACATTTTTTTAAGAAGAAAGTCTTATTTTATTTTTATTTTTCAAACCTTTTGTTCTATATATGAGCGATTCCACGTGAGATTTACCTATGACCTTTTAAATTCGTCTAAATATATTTTTTTCTTATTCTTTGCAGAAAAAAAAATTTTTGAATTTGTAAACAATCATAAACAAATTAAATTTTTTTAAATTTAGGCGCGATTTTTTTTTATTTTTTTAAATTTTTACACACATGAAAATAAAAAGAAAATTTTGTAATAAGTTTTAGAGTTTTTTTTTTAGAGTGGGCCTGATAATCCTTTTGTTTATATAATTTGTTTAAAAAAAAAATTTTAGTTTTTTTTTTTAATTTTTCATAATGAAAAGTGTTTTTGACACTAGGATCTACTAGTAAACTCATAGAAAAGCAAATTAAAATACATTTTATTTTGAAAAATAAAAAAAAACTAAAAAAAAGTAAAAATTTTTTTTTAAAACAAATTATATAAACAAAAGGATTATCAGGCCCACTCTAAAAAAAAAAACTCTAAAACTTATTACAAAATTTTCTTTTTATTTTCATGTGTGTAAAAATTTAAAAAAAAAATAAAAAAAAATCGCGCCTAAATTTAAAAAAATTTAATTTGTTTATGAAAAATCGTTTTTTTTTAAACAAATTCAAAAATTTTTTTTTTAGTTAACATATTTTGAAAGTCGATAAAAAACTGAAACTTTTTTGTATTTTAATCATAATTCCTAAATTCAGTACTTTTAGAGTTACATGTCATTGAAATTTTAATACCAAAATGGATTAAAATTAGCAAAATTGGATTAAAATAATAAGCGTTGCAGCTTATTTTAATACCTTAAAATTTTCTGTTTGTATTTCAAAAAAACGTGAAAAAATTAGATTTTTAAAAATTCATAACTCGAAAATTTGAGCACTTATAAAAAAATTAAAAAAAAATAAGTGAACCTTTTTTTTCTACAAAGAATAAGAAAAAATATATTTAAACGAATATAAAAGGTCATAGGTAAATCTCACGTGGAATCGCCCATATATATTGAGATATCGATATAATATTATATTGATCGATGAATTTGATAAATAATTTAAAATATATATTACTTTCATATATAAGAAAATATATCGTTCATCAAAGTAATAATTATTAAATCTCTTTAACGCTCAACGATAAAACAACAATGTTGCAAATGATATGTTGAACATAATGAAGAAAAATTTATTTTAAACCCGTTTTACTGGTCTTTACTTAAAGTTTATCTGTACTTACAATCAAGTATATATACATTGTATATGGAATGTAAATTTATGATATG